TTGGGGCCAGAGCGCCACCTACTACATGGTGCAAATCTGTCTGAATCCAGACAACGAGATAGTGGGAGGAGAGGCTTTCGACAACGTTGCGGCTGAGAGCAAGTAAGGGCCTGGCTGGCCCCCTCCCCGCCCCACCCCCGCCCTGAGCAGGGGCGGGACCCCGGCAAAGGCGGGGAGAGCCACCAGCCTCCGGGTCCAGGCCAGGTAAGGGCAGGCCAGGGGCCTCGGGCTCACCCGACGACTGCAGCTCTCCCGACAGGAAAGAGTCTGAGCAGCAGGGCGTGCGTACCGCCGAGAAGCTGCTGCGTGAGTTCTGTCCGCACACCGCCTGGGGCCAGGTCCAGCTGCGGCTGCTTCAGGGCCTCTGCCTGCTGGCCACTAGGGAGAAGGCGAACGTGGAGACCGCGCTGGGCACCTTCATCGAGATGGCGCAGGCGGAGGTGCGCCGGCTGGCGGGGCGGGGCGCGGAGGGCCGGCAGGTGGGGCGGGGAGAGGTTAAGGATCCCAGCGCAGACTCCAGCTTCCCACCCCGCGCGCAGAAGGACAGTGTCCCCGCGCTGCTGGCCATGGCACAGGCCTACGTGCTGCTGAAGCAGGTCCCCAAGGCGCGCACGCAGTTGAAGCGTCTGGCCAAGGCTCCGTGGGCGCTGGCCGAAGCCGAAGACCTGGAGAAGAGCTGGCTCCTGCTGGCTGACATCTACTGCCAGGGCGGCAAGTTCGACCTCGCCTCTGAGCTGCTGCGGCGCTGCGTGCAATACAACAAGGCGAGGGGCCTGCTGCTGTCGGGGCGGTGGGGTGGAGGGCGCCGGGCCCAGGCACGCTCATGGGGCAAAGCTGATGCCGGGTAGGAGCGGGATGAGAAGAGGCGGAACAAGAGCAAGATGGCAGCAGGGAGCGCAGCATAGGCAAGGCAAGAAGAGGCAGACAAGGTCGGGCAGCCAGCTAGATCAGTGGAATCAGGAGAGAGCTGGGAAGGGTTCGTGGCTGGAGGGGCTTGCAGGGGTCCGTTGGGCCAGGACGGGCTGCGAGGCGGGGGTGGGGGTGGGGGGCTGCGCTCTGGGGCCGGATGTGGCTTCTCCACAGAAGCTCTGACCGGCTTTTTCCGCAGTCCTGCTGTAAGGCCTACGAGTACATGGGCTTCATCATGGAGAAGGAGCAGGCTTACAAGGACGCAGCCTCAAACTACGAGCTGGCTTGGAAATACAGTCATTATGCCAACCCTGCCATTGGTAAGGCAGGCCGTCCAGGTACGGGTGGGTGTGGGAGGGAGTTGGCCGCAGGACCATCACCCTGGCCCCCGACCTCAAAGCCTATATCCTGGCCTGGCGGCCTGCCGGAACCAGAGGGCATCTCAGGTCAGGCCCTGGTAGTGCCACCCACCTGGTCTGTATTCTCCCTGCCCCTGGACAGGCTTCAGACTAGCTTTCAACTACTTGAAGGACAAGAGGTTCCTGGAGGCCATCGACGTCTGCCACAGTGTAAGCCACAGGGCATGGCAGGGAGGGCTTGGTGCAGTGGCCTGGTGTAGTGTCAGGGAGCCCTGCTGGATATTTTCACACCCTTTCTCTCTTTGTCCAAGGTCCTCAGGGAGCACCCCAACTACCCCAAAATAAGAGGAGAAATTTTGGAAAAGGCCCAAGGGTCTCTGAGGCCCTAGTTGCGGTCAGTGGCAGCCATCAACCTACGGAACTTTCATGGACCGGGGGTGGGATGGGGGTCAGTGGAGATTTTCAGAAAATGACATGTTCCTCCCTGTTTCTGTATTGTGTGATCTGTTTGAACCATGCCTCCTCTGGTCTAAGAGGCATCCCAAAGCTTTATGTCTTTAAGGCCCAAGAAACAGCTTTCCTCTGCGGACCAGGGACATCCGTCAGTTTAGCTTCTGCTAAGCTCACTAGGTACCTTCCTCTGGGCCCCACTTCTATCCCAGGCCTTGTGAGGGGGCAGAGGAGAACAAAGAGGTGGTTAAAAAAAAACACCCTACAGCTATTTCAATATTGTTATGTGAGCGCTGTAAATGCCTCTCCTCCACCGCCTGGTCCCCTGGATCCTGGAGCTAAAGAAACAATGCTCTTCCCTGCCCTGGTGCTCGCCTCGTCCTCCCTGGCAGTGAGACCGGAGCGGAGGACCGGCTGCACGAGGGCCTCAGCGGTGCTGAGCAGAGAGGCCGTCCTCCTGCGGGCTGCAAGGGTCGTTGGCCCACTCCGGCCCAAGCCTTCCGCCTCGTCCTCCCCACGCCCGCAGCCGGCTTCTGCTGGTCCTCGCCGGTGTGAGGGGAACCTGATGACCTTGCCTAGTACAGGGAAACGCGTCCCCAGAAAAAGTGGTTCCCACTCCAGCTTTTGGAAAAGACACTGACCACCTAATTGATCCTCCAGAAACCCTTCAACAGCCAAGGGGCCAACAGCCGTGGTCCCTATTTAGATGAATATTGTTCGCTGTCACTGGCAAGAGATTGGTAATAGAGGTCTCCTTTGCTGTGCTCCCAATGCCTCTCTTCCTGTTTTTCAGGATGGCAATAATGGGCCAGTCTGAGCTTGAGGGGAAGGAACTCTGAACTGGGAGTCAGGAGGTCTAGGATCTCCCTGCATGACCTTTCAAGGACCCTTCCTTCCCCTCTCTCGGTCTCAGTGTCCCCATGAGTGGCAGGAAATTAGACTAGATCTGTGTGTTCCCAATCCTGGTACAAATCACTGCCAATGATATTTACCAGGCATTTTAAAATTTAATCACTATGTGTTTAAACATGTTTATATAATAGAGAAAAACAGCACACAAACTCAGGAATACATGGGCATTCTTACATAGCATGGTTCTAACTTCCTGTATTTATGTGTTTATTTTTTTTTTTAAAGACTTTATTTACTTTTTTAGGGAGAGGGGAAGGGAGGGAAAAGGAGAGGGAGAAACATAAATGTGTGAGAGAAACATGACTGCCTTTTGTACGCCTCCATCTGGGGACCTGGCCTGCAACCCAGGCACGTACCCTGATTGTGAATTGAACTGGTGACCTTACGCTTTCCAGGCTGGCGCTCAATCCACTGAGACACACCAGCCAGGGCAACGTGGTTCTAACTTTTAAGCGTGTTGATATAATGTGGATGTGGCAAGGTTATGAAGAGAAGTTGTTCGGTGACTGAGGTTTGGGAACAGTGGATAGGGTAAGGATCTCTTTTAGATCAGCCCAAGTTGTCCTTGATGGCTGAGCCTTGCTTTTATGACCTACTGTGGTCACATGCGTGGCCTCTCAGTATGAGGCAATGATCTGGAATGCTTTCCCCAGGTTACTACCATCCTTCTCATGGGAAAACAGTCCACTTTATTAGGATGTGCTTTACAACCCAGTTTCTTGGGGCGGGTTATGTCAGAGACGGGCCTGTCTGTATGGGGAATGATGCTGTAAAGGATTGTGCATTAATCACATTTTTATTGCCGTAAAACCTAAGCTGTCTTCTTTTCTAAAACAAAAACAAACAAGAAGTGTCCCCATGGCTCTCAGTGAGGAGCAGGCCCGGTCTAGCCATGGGCTGTGGCCACAGGGTAGGAGCCTGCGGGGGCTGCCAGCAGGGGTATTGGAGCACTGCAGGCGTCCGCCCAGGCCCCGGGCTGTTCAGTCAGAGCCTCGCAGCCTTTGGAGAGATCCCACTTTGGGATCCTGTATGCTGGGGCATCGAAAGGATTGCCAGGGACCAGTGACAGGGGAGGCAGGACAACTGAATGTCCCCGGGTAGTCCACCCCGAGAAGCCTGAGACCTGGCTGTTCCTGCCTAAGCTGCTTACAGGGATGGGCCTGACTCCAAGCCGTGGTCCTCTAGTGGCCGCTGATGATATGGCCACGTGCCCATGCTCATGCATGTCCTGAGGCAAAAGACATACCTAAAAGGTGACAGAACTGGCAGTAAAAAAAAACAAACGAAAAACAAAACCCACAACAACAGAGGATAAAACATAGAAATAGAGGCCAAAACATGAACAGAATGGAAGTCACAAGGCTTACACGTTGCAGGCTGTCTTCTGAGTGCTGCGTGTATATATATGTGAACTGAACAATCTTATGAGGTAAGCAGTGTTATTTGCAGAGTTGAGGACACCGAAGCACAATGAAGGGAAGTAGTTTGCATACATAACTTCACTGGGTAGAAGAGCTGGGATTCGAACCTGGCACTCTGGGTCCAGGCTCTTGACCAGTAAACCACAGGAAGGAAGGGAGGCCAACACAGACCAACAGAGGCAGAGAATTAGTACAGAGAGACTCACATCAGACCTCTTTTTAGGGCCCCCTTCCCAGCTCTTGTTCACAGGGTCGGAGCCTGCTGGGGCTTCCAGCCAGGGTACCAGAACTGCTAGAGGCATCCACCCCCAAGACCCCTAGACCCCCAAGGGGGCAGTTGACCTTGCTCCTGGGGCCCCCAGACTGGGGCTCACCAGGGCACAGTGCAGCCTTCTCCCCTGGCCTGCAGCCCAGGCTGCCAGGGACAGGTCAGACAGGTCTGGCTGGTACAGATGGATGAAGTTCTACAGCTTCCGGTGTTTGGTGCCCAAGTGCCCAGGGACCTCAGTAGCTCAGCCACACGCAAGGCCTCTGCCCACCCCATCCCAATGCCTGCCCCCACCCAGGGGGGTGGGGGTGATTACCCCGTAGACCTGGAGCCCCAGCTCAGGGTGGGTGAGTAGAAGTGAGTGTGGCCTCACCCACCCAAGCACACAGTTTGTCTCAGACTGTCCACCCCCCGGGACCACTGGAGAGAGAGAGGGTCTTCCAAAGGGAAAACTGTTCCATGTCCCTGGCCAGACTCTGCTTGCTGGCTTCCTGTCTCCAGGTTGACTGGCCCGCATGGAAGGAGGCTCCGCGCGTTGTGTCCCCAACCCCCATCTCCAGCACATCCTGTGTGCACACTTCCCTGCAGGGCCCGTCCCCGCCCGCCCCCCCGGCCTGTGGGTGTACCCAGGCCCCAAGTCATCCCACAAACGCAGACCACACCATTAAAAATAGAGCCTCTTTATTGGTACCTGTTAAGTTCAGGTACAAGGTGTTCCCACAAGCACACAGGCTGGCAAGGCCTCCTGGGCAAGAGGGCAGGCCCAGAGCCCGGGCTTCTTGGCACAGACACAGAGAAAAATGAATAAATTATAGTTCAAATATTCAGAGACAATATAGAAATTAGGATGCAAAAGTCAACCTCAGCCAACAGGCATAAAAGCCATAAGGCACCACCCCTTGCCCTGGCCAGCTGGCCTGAGGGCACAGGCAGGTGGGCCAGGCCGGAGCGCGGTGCCCAGAAAGCCCCGGGATCGTCCTCAGGGGCATGCTGTGGGCCGGCCCTGAGGCAAGCCCCTTGCTCTCTCTAGGCCTCCCGCTTCCCCTTCCTACACCGAAGGGCCCCGAACGGAGGCTGTGGCCCTTGCAGGAAGGGAGAGATGGGGCAGAGGACAGGAAGTGGAGGGGGCTGAGCGGGTCAGAAGAGGGTTTTGGTCACGGTTGGTCAGCCCGGTCCCTCCCCTGCTCAGACACAGTCCTGGGCTAGCCTCTGCCGCTCAGCCATCCAGAGCCAGGCAGCTGCCAGAGGAGACACAGGGCTCGAATCCACACCTGGCCTAGACCCGAGGCCAGGCAGGGCGGGGCTACAAGGCAGAAGGGATGGGGGACTGTGCCCCGCCCCGCCCCGCCCTCAACGTTGCCTACCGGCCAGGGTGAGAAGCCTAAGCCACCTAGTCTCCAAATAAATTATGGAAATAAATTATAGTCTTCACAGTCCAGAGGATTCAGCCACCCAGAGGGGCTAGGGCTCAGGGTGGCAGAAGCCTGGAGAGGTGCATGTTGCCAGCCCTGTCTCACAGTCTTTGGGCTAAGAAACATCATGCCCTCCTCTCCCTGGCAAGCTCCATGGAAGTAGGAGACTGTGGGCACCGGGGGCCAGGCGGCTACAGGGGAAAGCCCCCTCCCACTTTCTCTTCAGCACAGAAAGTTACAAAAATAAATAATAAATCCATCCAGAGTGTTGCATGAAAATTTGGAGTGCCCACATGGGTGAGCCAGCCAATACGAAACAGCTACATACAGGCCCCGGGGAGCCCCCAAATTATGACAGCAGCAACAGAGCTTTCGGGGCCGGGAGAAGGCACCCTAGTCCTCACACGGGCACGGGCTCGACCAGTGACGCCGGGGCAGTGTCCTCGAACAACTGGCTGTCCATGAAGGGAACCAGGCCCTCGGCAGCTGGCTCAGACAAGCCCATGATGGATTCCAAGAAGCAAACACTGGAGTCCGCCGGTGGGGAAAAGGCAGGTAGGGGAAAGTGGGGTGCGTCCAGGTTGTCCAGACTGTCAGACACCTTCCGAGAGGTGTAGTGAGGCCCCAGACTGTAGTCGGGCAGGGCCTGGAGCAGCTCAAAGGAGTCACAGGAAGACAAGCTGAGGTCCACGGAATTACTCTGACCGGCGTCCGTGCCAGGTGGCACGGAGGTGCCGGGGAGGCCGCCTTCTCCCCACCCTTCTAGGCTGCCGTTTAAGAAACAGCTGGCATCCAGGTTGGCATTTTCATCCAGGATGCCTGATGTGAGAGTAGAGCCGGAATAGCTGTGGGTCCAGCTGGCCAGGCCACCCGGGTCCCCGGTACCGAAGATATCACCTAGGTGGAAGCAGCTGAGGTTGTCGAGGTTCCCCAGGCCCGCTTCCTCCTCCTCCTCCTCCTCCTCTCCGCCCAGGTCAGAGTCACTGAAACTCAGGATCCGCTCCAGGCTATCATCATCCACACCCGGCTGGAAGCCAGGGCTGGGCAGGGCCGGGTGGGCAGGGCCGTCGGGGGGCTCGTGAGTGCCTGATGCTGTGGAGGAATCAGTCATGTCGCTGCTGCAGCTGTGGTCTCCCAGCTCGCTGCTCACAGGGGGCTTGGCCAGTGGGAAAGTGGGAGCCAGGGACTGCCCACCGGGGCTGGGGGGGCCACCCTGGGCAGGAGCCTCCAGCTCTCCAAGGCTCTCAGCCCCCTCCTCCAGCTGCAGGCGGGTGAGCGTGTGGATAAAATGGGTCTGAACTCGCGCCTGATTAAATTCCACGCGGCCCTTGGGGTTCTCACAGCCCTCCTTGCAGCAGCCACAGGGGAACGCCGTGTGGTCCATCTGCAGAGAAGGCAGAAGCACGAGTGAGGATCCTGAGGTGCCCAGAGAAGCCTCCAAGCTCAGGCTCCCCATCCCAGCCCAGCCCTGCCACCATACCTGGCACTTGATGCCCGCCAGGCTGCAGCTGCAGGTCTCAGGGTCACAGACTCTGTCGCAGTGACAGCCACAATCCTCCCGGGACTGGCGCAGAGCCTGCAGCTCCCGCTTCTCCTCCCGATCGATCTTCCGCACGCCGGCGGCACGCAGCAGGGCCCGCCGCTTCCGGGCTGGGTAGGGCTGTAGGAAGGTCATTTCCTCCAGCCGGCCACCTGCCACAGCCGCCGCCAACTCCTCATCCACGGAGGCGTCATCGATGGTGTCCACTGTCAGGGGCAGGCCAGCCTCCACCTCAGGCACCCCCGCATCTGCAAGCTGCATCCAGGGGAGAGAAGAGGGGTGTGAGAGGCACAGACACGTGGTCTTAGTCCCCTCAGCCACCAGCCACTCAACAGACTGCCCATGTGCTTCCTCTGGGCTGGGCACTGTGCATTCCACAGTGGCCAGGGCAGCCAAGAACACTGCCTCAGCACATCTGCAAAGCAATTTCCTGTTCGTGTCATTTCCCAGTTCGAGGACAAGTGCCTTCCCCCAGCCAGATACACTGACCCCCACTGTCCGTCAATTCCACATCCCCCTCCCGGGTGAGGTCAGACAGAGCCAGGCACCACGCCCCAGCCCCTGCCTCAAACCCGAGCCCTCCCACACCTCACTCTGCCTGCAGAGAATCCAGGCAACGGATCCCGATCAAGCCATTGCTGGCCCCAGGAGCCTCTTTCCCCAAATACATGAGGAGCAAACCAGCCTGCCCCTCCCCTCAAGGCCAGGACTTGAGGAGCTGCCCCACCGTGAGCCTCAGAGGGATTTCCCTACCTTGCTTCGAAGCACCTCCAGTTTCTCCTCCTTCAAGCGTAGGCGGAGCTTCTCGTGCCGTGCCCGGGCCTGCTCCTGTGTAAACTCAGCCAAGGAGAAGCGGCGGCAGGCGCTGTGGCGAGGGGCCATGCCCAGAGTGCAGCCGCCACGGCTGGGCACACTGGTGAAGCCCTGACACCGAGGGAAGTAGAAGACGGTGATGCCATCGAAGGCCACTCGGCCCGGGCGCTTCCGGGGAGCCCGCTTCAGGATGGACAGGGCTGGAAGGCAGGCAGGGAGGGGTAGGCATGAGTTCTCTGCGAGGTACAGCACAGCCCCCTGCCAGATGATGCTGAACGATCTCTCCACACCTTCTCCTCTGTCCTCCCATCACCCCCCGCCCTGCCCCACGAAGACATGGGTTCAAATTTAGGAGCCAACCTGGCTGTGATTAGAGTTGGTAAAATTGAACACTACTCCTAAGTCAACACTGGCTTACTGTTACTGACAGCTGAAATGCGGGCAATTGTAAGATTAAAGATCTTTCCCATTTTTATCAGCCCATTATACATCCCTTGCAGTTTGCTATAGTTTTCTAATTAATTTGTTGGAACTCTTTATATATGCTATTAGAGACATTAATCATCACTCTAGCCTATCAGTGAAAATATTTTAGTCTTTCATTTTTGTTCATGGCATTTTACAAAATTCTAAGGTTTAACGAATCAAAAATATATTGATCTTTTCCTTCATAGATTCTGTATTTTGCAGCGGGCTTAGAAAGGCCTTCCCTGAATAAGTTATATATATGCTACATATACATAAGTATATTATTGCTTTTTATTAGGTTGAACCAAGAGAAATTACCATAAAGTAGTTGAATATTAGAAATTCCATTTATCTCAACTTAATATGCTAATTTTGTACACAACTACCTGAGGGCATTGCCTTTTAAAAGGCTTTCGGTTTATATTCTTGAATTTATCAGGTAGCCAACCATTGGCAAGTAATGGCAATTTGGTCTGTCCCAATGTAATACACAGAATTCTTATTCTCTCTGCTAATTGAATTGGCTAGCACTTCCTGAACAATGTTAACTAACAGAGGTGACAGATAGCATCCTCATCTTGTTCCTGATTTAGTGGGAAATGCTTCCAGGATTTCCTCAGTAATCAGAATCAGCTTCTGGGATGAAACCTATTTTTTTTTTTTTTAAACATTTAAGTAGAATTCACTTATCCCTATCTTACCAAGAATCTTATCTAGAAGGAACATTACGTTTTATCAAAGACTCCTTCAGCATCTAGAGTAGCTCTTATAGTTACCCTCCTCCAACATAGTCAAGTTTGTAAACTATGAGGCTAGATTTTATAATATTAAACCACCCTTGTCCTTCCAGCATAAACCCACCATCATTTCATCAATCAATGTTCTGTTAGAATCTATGTGCTAAGAATCCTACTGTTTTATGTGTAATGCAGATATACATATAGTACATAAGCAGATACCGTTCATATCTGTGGTAGTAAAATACTAGGGGGGAAGGGGGATTAGAAAAAAAATGTCTAAAAGGCTCCCTGTGGTCGGGGGGAGTGATAATACTAAGTTGGGTCGAGAAACAGTGCTCCGGGGCCAGCTTTGTCAGTTTGGAGTCAGAATTACGCCAGCTGGAAAAATAACTGGGAAAAAACCTTTCACGCTGCTCAGGCAAAGCCAGGCAGCATTTTGACAGGGGAGGGACCGGCCTGACTGGCCTCGCAGCGGAGAAGTGCGGGCGTGGGACTCTGGCAGAGCAGCTGGAAGGAGGACAGGGCGAGAGCCGGAGAAACGAAACTGGAACAGAAGGGAGGAGCTGGGGCGGGAAGGCTGAGGGCCACTCTCAGGAGCTCTGTTCTGAATGTCATGACTTTGAAGCACGGGAGTCCCAAGGTCGAAGGTGAATGTGGCCTGGGCCAACTGCCTCTGGACAATGGGCATTCCTAAGTGACCACTGCATTCCGGGAAGCGGGCGAGGCGGGGATCCAAGTAGGGGAGCTAAAGCCATGGGGACACAACCCCCAGGGGCCCGGATGGCTCTGTCACAAGCCTCCCGGTTTCATCTTTAGGAAAGGGATGTGGTGTGGTTCCCAGGGGAGCGGGGACTCACGGGGGGAACTTTGGGGGCCACCGACGTTTCCATCAGGCAGGGGCATCTGATCCCAGGGCCCTTCCTCTTCCAGATCCCAGGCCAGGGAGACCGAGGAGCTTGGGGAGCAGGAGCCGGAACGGTGGCCCGAGGACAAAGATGAGGATGAGCAGAGCGAGGAGTCATCCTCTTCCAACTGGTCAAACTTCCTCTTCAGCAGCCCGGTCATGGTGGGTCCAGGGGTGCTCTGCAGTCCGGGCACTGACAGACTGGAATAGGAAGGAGGACGCTCTCAGTGGCAGCCCTGGGGCTGAGAGGCGGGCTCAGCTACCATCGAGGTGTCCCCGGCCCTCCCGCCCTGGCCCTGGGAGCTCCCTGGGAGGCTTCTCAGCACAGGACAGAGCGCTAAGGCCCAGACCTTGTCCTGGCACCTGCAGACTCCCAGCACTGTGCCAGAAAGCCCTCCCAGGACACTGCCGGGCACCTTCCGCACTACCTCCTGCAGCCCACCTCCGCACGCGTACACACAGACTAGCAGATGGACCGACAGACCTCTGCCCAGCCTTGATCATTCCCCGACAGGAGTCCTGGGGGCTGACTCACCGGCTGGGTGATTCACACAGCTCGCATCTGTGCGCCTTTGTGTGTGTGTGTGGCTGTCTGCGGACCATGGCTCTGCTTCCTCACCACCCCCCACCCGCCCCAGCGCTCCCACAGGCACACTGCCCCGCAGACTCCCGGCAGCTGCGGGCCCTTACTCCGGGGCCAGGCTAGCCAGGATACTCAGGCGAACCGGCTGGCTTTGACGCTGGCCCTGATTCCCAGGACTTTCCTGAGTCCCTCCTCTCCTGGGAAGGACCTGCTCAGACTTTCCCTCAGAAACCCCCAGCTCGGCAGAAGTCCCCTGTCTCCAGTCCTGACTATGGGACCCGGGGCCATGCAGGCTTCATGTTTCTTTCCCATCTCCTGGTTGGTCTGAAAGAGTCACCAACATCTGCCTTCTACTCCAGTATCTAGCTCTGTTTGTTTGAATTAACTTCCAATGGAAATTATTTTTTCCCCTTTAAAAAAACCCCCGAAACTCGTCTAGTAAAACTGACCTGCCAAGACAATGTGCCATTCTCTCTAGTCTGTAGCTTGGTGACTTGGAGCACCCAGGACATACCACTCATGGCTCCCTTTGAAGGTCTCACCCCTCTGTGGGAGTGCAGCCAGACTCCGAGAACCTGGCTAGCCCCATCCGAGTGGCATGGCGGGGAACTGGGGTTCCTTCCCTGAAATGCCAACGCAAATAACAGTCCCTTCTGCTGCTTGGGAATCCCCAAAGGAGTCAGTCCTAAGGGCTGACCACAGCCAGCTACCTTGTCTCTGCACATCCGGTGGCACTCGGAGCTGGGCCCCCAGGAGGTCACCAGGAGGAAGGGGAAACGATGCAGAGGCCCCAGGGCTGAGGAGCCCCTCCCCCACGGCCATCACAGGAAATGAGAGAGAACAGGAAAAACCAACCAGAAGGCCGGCGATCCACCCCCTCAGGTATCCTTTCAAATACCCCTTTCCCCCTTTGCCAAACCGCGCACAAAGTCCCTGGATTTTAGACACAGAGGGTGTGCTGTCAATCAACTTACTAGATAAAATTCTTTCCAGGGACAACCTCTCCCTGCAGGAACAAGAGAAGCGCCAGAGAGCTCCCCTCCTTGCAAACTCTCCACGTTGGGCCCCGGAGAAAGAGGACACACAGGTGTTTCCGGGGGCTTCTGAGCGGGTAGTTTCTCAGGCCTGGCACCCCCCTCCCAGGGTCAAACCACAAACAAAAACAACCCAGCTCCCAGCTGACCCGCAGGCTCCCCCAGGAGAGGGAGCAACTTCGTGACCCAGAGCCAGGCGTGCACATTCATACACACACGCAGACCTGGGACACTCAGACACAGATGGACAAACCACAGCCAGGCACTGTCCCCTCCAGTGTACTGCTAGGAGAATTCATCCTTTCCCAAGCTCCAGACGTGTCTGCAGGGTACCGAAGGCCTCCCTCATCTCTCGCCCAAGCCCAAGACCCATCCCCGCAAGCCAAATGCCCACTTGGTATTCCTGCCTGGCTGTTCCCTAGAAACATAAAATTCTGCAGGCCCCAAATCGAACCCCTTGTCTCTGTTCCCCACCCCCCCACCCGTGCCATCTGTTCCTCTTCCTGTGTTCCCTATCTTAGTAACAGCACTGCCACCCACCCAGTTACTCAAGCCAGAAACCTGCAGCCATCCTCAACTCCTTCCTCCCTCTCCCTGCATCCACATCCAGCCACACATTAGCTCACTTAATCCGCACAAGGCCAGGCACAGACTCGGTCGGTATCCCGGAGGCCGCCCAGCGTAGGCTTAAGGACCTTGGCTCCAGAGCCAGACTGCCTGCATTTGAACCCTGGCGGAGCTCCTAGAGCGGAGTGACCCTGGGCAAGTTCCTTAACCTCGCCACTCCAACCCTTTGTCTTGAAACCTCTTCCATGAATGAATGCATGTCAAATCCTCAGCGGTCAGTGCTTGGTGAATACGTCATTCTACACCGTGAAAAGAAGAATGAGCTGCAGGACGCACACAACACAGATGAATCTCACCGATACCATGTGGGTGAAAGAAGTCAGACACCAGAACACACATGCACGTGAAAGAAGCTCAAGAGAAGGCAAACCCAGTCAGTGATGACACCAGTCAGAATAGGGGTTACAGGGCGGGAGGGGAAGGGTGCACTGGGGACGGCCGTGAGGGAATCTTCTGGCGGGGGAAAGGGGGTGGCGTGGCAAGGGGGAAGCAGTCTGGAAATGGTGTCAGATGGTCTGGGTTCAGGTTTGTTCCATGGGTGTCTAAAACCATAAAAATCCACCTAGCTGCACACATAAGATTCATATACTTCAAGCATTTTATGTATGTCACCTACAATTTTAAAAGTTTATTACCCTTATGTGTCTGTCCCCACTGCCTCGGCCTCTGTCCTCTCCCCATCACCGTTCTTTACCCTGCGGCCAGAGCGACCTTCTCGCATCCCTTCCCGACCTGCCTCCCACAGGTGTAGAATCACTCCCACACTCCCCTTAGGGCAGCTTGCCCTTAGCATCAAGTCTAGAACCCCACGAGAGGCTGAGGCAGGCCTAGCAGCTGCCTCTCCTCCAGACCCGTGTTGTGCGAGTCTCCCCAACCCCCTCTCACTTTATACTCCAGCTGACCTTGTGGTCCCCCAATGGCCATGACCCGCTCACTTCCTGGGATTTGCAGAAGTGGGGACCCAGCCTCACCCCCCTTTAGAAATCATCCCCAAGAGGGCCTCCCTGAAACCCCCACTCCTCCTCACTGACAGCACGCCTCGCGGGCTGGGATTCCCACCCACATCACAGCTGGGGGCCCCCCAGCCTGGCTGCCATTGTGCCTATGCCTAGAACAGAGTCTGGCACACAGAAGGCACCTGAGGACCATCAAAGGTGGGCACTTTGTATCAGGTATAAACACAGAAACGAGATTAAGCACAGGAAGCCTTTGCGGGGGGGTGGGGGGGCACAAGCGGTCAGTGTGATCTAATGCTCCTGTCACAGTTAGTTTAAGGGTGGTGGGCACACGCCCCTCCCCCAGCCTGCAGCAGCAGGCTGAACAAGAATGGTACCTAGAAGGGGTGGTTCTGAGGGAGAAGAAAGCTCAGGCTGCAGGCAGGTGCCAACGCAGGCATCTCGGAGACTCTCAGTTCCCCGTGAGTAAACAAACAGCGATGTCAAGGAAGCAGGTTCCAGCCTGACACCTCGGTTTTGCCTCAGGAATACGTACTGAATGGGAACTTCAGGTGAAGGGTTACAAGCTCCAAGGCTGCAGACCGAGAAACCAGGGTACAAAGGAAGCTAAGGCCGCGCCGCAGGTTTTGTGATGAACCCCAGCAGGACCTGCAGGCCTGGATTGGAATGAGAAGTGATCTCCTCTTTGATACTCCTTTGGGGTGGGGGGAGGGGGAGGAGCCACTGTCCCACCTGGGAATCCAGAGGCTGAGAGCCGCAGAGGCAGGAGATAAGACAAAAAGACTCAGCCAGAGACGAGGAGAGGCCAAGTCAGAAAAAGGAATGAAAGATAGTGGAAGAGTCCAAGAAAAGTGTCAGACAGTGAGTCAGAGGGTGGGGGAGGGGCCCCCAGCAGCTACCCAGGAATCAAGATCCCAACCGCGGCACCGTTCCCAGGGCGAGCACAGCCCCCTCCTAGGGTCCTGGAGGAAGGAAAAGCAATTCCCAGGAGCTGGCGCAGACAGAAACACCACACCCCCAGGAGCCCCGGAGACAGGCGCTGAATCAAAGAGAACGAGGCTTCTTCCGGCTCTGCCTGGGCCCTGAGAACCGTGCCGCCTTCCTGCCACCACACACAGGAGCTGACAGCCCAGCGCGAGGGGGGCACACCTCCCCGCCCTACTCACCACAACTATCTCCACACTCAGGCCTCACTCTGTGAATCCAGGGAAGGCCACCTCACCCTGGGAACCAAACAAACAAAGGCTACTTGGGCAGGGGGAGGGGGGGCGGCAATCTCAGGGCCTCTGAAAAGTCACACCAACTCCTCTGTGTGCCTCAGCTGTCCCAAGGCCCCCACCCCCACCCCCAGCTAGTGCTGGGGAGGGGGCACCTTCAGCAGCCTCCATCCAACTCCAAGAATCTGAAGAATGTGTCTTTTAACCTCAGAGACCAGACCCCAGCCCCGGGGCGGGGGGGGGGGGGGGGGGGGCGGGGGCGGTCAGCTTCCCCTAATACCTGAGGTCACTTGACCCCAGGCCCTAAAGAACTACTTCCTGGGAGAAGGGGAGGGCATCTCTGAGCACCTCGGGGAGCCCCCAATGGGACTGGCTGGACAAACAGCCTGGGCAGCCCAGGGAGGGCAGACAGGAAGTCCTGGCACACCCCTCCCCCACCTCTCCGTCTGCGAGTGATGGGGGGAGGAGACAGTTCCTCAGCCTTGGCCTCCAGGGCCTGGCACTGGGTACCTGCCAAATGTTTGCTTGGCTACGTGAGGCAATTGCTTCTGCAGCAAAGAAGCTGCACCTGACAGCAACCGCTTCCTCAGCCCCACCAGGCCTTCTTCACGCTCATTCATTCATTCATTCATTCAGCAAATACTTATTGGGCTCCTGTGACAGGCTGAGCACCGTTCAGGCACCTGGGCACAGAGGGTGCAGGACGGACACTGAGTGCTGCCCCTTGCAGTTCCGAGTTGAGCGTAGCCAGGGTTTACGAGCCCCGCGTTGTGGCGCGCTGTGATGGAGGGTGGAAGGGGTGGGCTGTAGGGGTGCAGCTGGGGGGTGAGGACAGGTCCCTCCGGGGAAGGGAAGCAGAAAGTGTCCCAGGGAGGGGGCGCAGCAGGAGTGGGGGGCTTGAAAAAGGGAGAGCCAGAGGGGCGAGCGGGAAGGGGCTGGGCGGACAGGGTAGGGGGGCGGGTGGGGAGGCAGATCCAGCCTCCCAGGGCAGGCTTTAGCCTGAGGGCACAGGAAGCCACCGCAGGGTTTCAGAAGGGAGTGACAAAACCAGATTTGCATTTTAAAAAGATGGCTCACAGCCGGGACCGGAGGGGGTGTGACCGGTTCCACCGCGGAGCCTGAGCTAGGTGAGATGACAGGACAGGGGCAAGGAAGAGAGAGGAATGGACTTGGTGACCTCGGGATGCGGAGACCGCAGCGGACAGTGAGGTCAAGGGTTTGGGGGTGAGGGGACGAGTCCGATCCTCTGGGACAGGGGTGACGTGTGTCTGGAGGTGTCGGGTGGGCCGCGGAGCTGGGGAGGGACCCTCTGTGTCAGCAGTGTGGGCTCTACGTGTGACTGTGCCAGGGAGCAGGAGTGACTAAGTGTGTGACGGCGGCTGTGGAGTGGGCATCTCCACAGTGCGAGCCGGTGCAAAAGCCCCCGGGGACGGGAAACTGAGGACCGGGAGGAAGTACGTGCTGGAGAAGAGAGAGGCAGTGCGTGGGAGACGGCCTACGCGTGCCCCAGGATGGCCGGGGAGGCTGCGCCCGTGACTCACAGTGGTGGCCTCTGCGTGTGACGGCGACTGACAAACAGGTGAGCGTACGACACAATCCCTCCTCCCTCGCTCCCTCCCGGGGTCCGTGACTCACGGAGCCTCCTCCTCCTCCTCGCTCATCCCTCCACTCCCTCCCTGATCCCCGCCTCCCAGGGGCGCCGGGCACGCGCCGGCAGCCCCAGCATCCGCCCCCGGGGGGAGCCCGAGGAAAAAAACGACAAATGTCACCTGCTCCGGCCACGAGAGGAACTTCTGAAAAGTTCTCAGGCAACTGGGTCAAAAGGAAACTCACCCGCGGACACACGCACCTCGTCACCCAGCCACCGTGCGCAGCCTCGGCTCGGCCGCCCCCGGCGCAAGGCCCGGGGCGCCGCGACTTCTCGGGGTGCGGGCGGCGGGGCCGGGGAGGGGAGCAGAAAACCTGCGCCTCTCCGCCCCTGCCTCCCTGCCCCGGACCCCATCGGTGTCACGCAGTCTCGGGCCCGACTGGGCTGTCCTTGCCCCCGCTCCCACTCGAGGTGTCAGGGGGCAAACAGCAGGGGCCGGAGGGGCAGCGTCACCTGCGCGGGACGCCCCCTCCCCAAAGTCCCGTCCGGTCCGGCCGAGAGCCCCCTCCGCGCTTACCTGCCAGCCAGGCGCTCTCCAGGTACCCTGACGCGACCCGCGTCCCGGCCGGGGCGCCCTCCGTACCGCGACCCTGAGTTCGCTCGGCCGGCAGCCGTCGGCCCAGCCTCCCCTGGCTCTGCGGATCCGGCAGCGGCGGCGGCGGGAGACTGTCTGCGCGGCCCCGCCCGCCGCTCCGCCCTCGTCGTCAGTGGAAAACTCCGGGGCTGGCCGCGCTGACGCACGCCCGGCCGCCGGCCAGGCCTCCCGCCGCCCCGCCCCGGAGGCACCGCCCCCTCCCCCGCCCCAGCCGGGCGCTGCGGCCGCCGGCCGCCCTGCTCCCGCCAAGGCCTCCCCTGACGGCGGGCCAACTCTCCCAGTGTGACTGCGCAGGGGAAAGTGTGTGCACACCCCGGCGGCGAGTGCTGACCCCAGGAGCCCCCCGCCGCCCCTCTTCCCGACCGCAGATGCCACCCTACTCACCCTGCGTCCCTTGAGCGTTTCTGCCTCTCACCTTTGCTGCAGCCGGTCCTCTCTCCTGGAATGCCTTTCTGCCCCCTCTCTGCTTCCCAGAACCCCATCGCCTGGAAGGCCTCTGCTTCCAATGCCTCCTCCAGGGAGCCTTCGTGGAAGCTGACCCTCCCCCTCCCAGGCCCGCTCCCGCTGCATTCTGGGTTCTTCTCTGGCTGTCCTAGATGAAAGTTGTCAGTGACTAGCCCAGCCCTCAGTATTCTTTTCTACCTTCCTCCAGGTGGGGGGCGGGGTGCCCTGTGCGGCCGGGAGGGCTCTGCGGTGGAGATGATGGTGAAGGTCCCTCTTCAGCCACAGGTGTAGAAGTAGACAGGGCCAGGAGGGGTCTGCCTGCCCTTTACCTTTCCGGGAAGAACGCTAGGAGCAAAGCAGGTCGGCGGAGGCTAAGCCCCTGCCCTTTCTGGATGCCCCGAGTGTGTGGCCCCGGGGGACCTGCTGCAGGAGGTGTCTGAACACCTGGAGCCAGGCTTCCAGAGACTTCCTAGTGCCCGCTGGTTGAAGTCGCAACCTCCTGTGGGCCCACGGAGCTGGAATGGTCTGGCCCTTGCCCACCTTTGCAGCCTCGCTGCTCGCTCTTCATACTCCCTCCCCTCGCTCCTTTCCCTGCTCCTCCATGTTAATGTCTTTAATTTGTGTACACTTTTTATTTTTACATTGTGCTTGTAACGTTGGTACAGCTGCACATAGTTTTAATTTACCCGTGAGGTGTTCTGTGCTAGATCTCATTAAGTTTCTGCCAGCCTTACCTCTACACTCCCACCCCACACCCTTGATAATGTTCTTGGGGTGTGTCCTGCTCATTGGCAAGAACTTGTCCAGTGAATTGAATGTACCTAGTCAATGTGTGCAAGGAGGTGGGGCTGACGGTCAGGGCAGGGCTGGAGGCGGAGATGGAAGGGTCTTCAGCACAAGGCGGGTATGTTGAAGCCCCAGCTGGTGGCTAAGACAGCTCTGGGGGGAGTTTAAAGGCTACAGAGCTGGGTGTCAGCTGCTAGGGGTGCCCCGGCCCTGAGGGATATGCCTACCGCCATCCCCAACAGAGACACTCAGCCGTGCCCTCCCCGTGGCTGGCTGGATTTTTTTCTTCCATTGCCGCCTCCTTCCTGCCTCTAGTCCTCTGGCCAGGTCCCCAAGTCCCCAAGAGACAGGGAGTCTCTATGACCTAGAGTGGAGTTCTGGTTCTCTCTCACTCTCTCTCTGTCTTCCAACTAGTACAATGGGGAGCACTGGACCAGAGAACCCCACCACCTTCAACATTCCTGGAGTTAGAAGCCCCTGCCTGCTGGTCAGGGACCTGGGCTGGGTTGAGCACCAGAGGTCACGAGGGCCTCTGGCTGCGGCTGCGGCTGCGTAGGTTTGCATCCTGCTGTACTGTGTATTGGGGAAACCAGAGCCAATAGAGACCAGGGCAGGGAGTTGGGAAGGACTGGATTGGGGGGCTTAGAGTAGGAAGTCCAATGGGTGATGGGCTTTGGGGGACAGCAAGAGAAAGAGAGAATAAGGGAAAGTATAGGAGAATAAAAAGAATCAAGTAAATGATGTGTTTTCTTCAGAAAAGCATCTCCCTGTCCTGGGATGGGCTTGCCAGATGTTGCCCAGATGTTGCTGCTGATGGAAAACATCTCCCTCTGGGATCCCAAGTAAGCTCTTCCTGTTGGTGGGGAAATGAAGGGTCTGTTCCAAGGCAAGGAGGGTGGGGTCTGGAGCAGCATCCATCTGTGACTATAGCACATACATAGCAGTAACACCCACACATCATTAGAGAATTGCTGAAGACTTGGGAGAGTCCAACAAGTTTCTCAAACATTCAGCATCCACGGACCACTTGTTTTGGGTAAAAAAAAAAAAAAAATCCTAGTTTTAATATTTAAAAAAATTAAAAAGCAATGATGTGTTCCCATCAGAAAGACTAAAATTAAAAGGAATATTTAAACAAACAAACAGTAGCCAAAGTAGCAAGATTGAGGATTAACCAGATTATTGTACATTGTTGGTGGGGGAGTGAATTGACATAGTTCGGAAAATAATTTGGCAGTACCTATTAAGGTCCCCAAAATAGGTAAACTCTATAATATCATAATTCTTTTCCTCAGTATATACCCGAGACAAAAATGTATTTGTGTCCACTAAAAGACACACAAATATTACATAGCTGCTTTATTCAAAACAGTCTAAAACTGGAAACAATCCAAATGTCCAACAGGTTAAGTGGAAAGAAATTGGGATTTTAACATACAACGGAATGTTACATAGCACTGAAAAAGAACACACAGTTGGCTCATACAAATGACAGGGATGAATCTTGAAAACATTGTATTGAATAAAAGAAGCCAACCACAAAAGGGCAATAACTGTGATTCCAGTTATTTAGATGAAGTTTAAGAACAGGCAGAACTAAAGTGCAGGGATAGTTAACATTACCTTAGAGAGTACTGACTGAGAAGGGCCACGAGAGCCTACCGGGGTGCTGGAGACAGTGTCCATTTTGATCCGGCCAAGGGGCTGGACAAGTATGTACATATGTAAAAAGCCAAGTTCTACACTTCAGATTTATTCGCTGTATGTAAGCTGAGCCTTGATAAAAGGAGGGAGAAGGAAAGGCAATTGTAGTGTCATAATTGTCAAAGGGGTGCCCTTGTTTTCAGCCTCGCATAAGTAAGTCTGTCTCCTGACCAATGAGGGGTACTTGGGGCTCACAGGTCAGGTTCAACCGTTTAGGTTTCTCTCCCTCTAAATTAGTGGAACAGGTCAGAATTTTAGTCCACCGTGATTTCTGGGTTGCAAGGAGCTTCATGTCATTTTGCATCTAAGAGTTTTACAGTTTTAGCTCTTATATTTAGATTCTTTTATTTAAGAGTTTAAAATTAAAACCCTCCACCCACCCTAGTCCATAAAGGTGAGGCTCCCAGACTAGCAGTATCAGCATCACTGAAGAACTCGTTAGAAATGCAGATTCTTGGATCCTCCCCAGATCCGCTGAATCAGAAACTCTGGGCGGGGGAGGGGGGCTCAGCAACCTGCCTTCTAACCAGGCCTGCAATGATTCGGGTGCACATCACAATTTGAGACCTACTAAGCTAAGATCTTGGAGAGTAAAACCCTGGAGAGGGAACTGTCTTCAAGCACTTCTTGAACATTCTTGTTTATCTAAACTGAGACATTTGAGTGCAGATCTGTGGATTAAAAAGTCTGAGCTATGGAATTCTGGGTCAAAGGATTTTGACAGATGTTACCAACTTGCCCTCCCAGAAGTTGCAACAATTTTACTCAACCAGTAGGATCTGAGTAGGCCTGATTCCCAGCAGCTTCCTGGGCACTAGGTATTATCAAGCCTACTGATCTCTGCCAATCTAATAGGAGAAACAAAAAAGGTATCTTAGTGCTTTCCTCGTCCTCTCTCTAGTTATGAGTGAAGCGGAAACGTTTATAAGCCATTTGTATTTCTCTTTAAACTGCTGGTTTATACTCTGTATTTTGTATTGGGTTGTTTTAAGTCTTTGAGGATTGAGGAAATGAGCCCTTCTGCCAGTTACATCTGTCACACTTATTCCTGGTTTGTTTTTGACCTTGGTTTATAGTGTGTTTTACCACACAGAAGTTTTCAATGTTTATATAGTCAGCTGAGGGATCCTGGCTTTGGTGTGCTGCATTCGCTATCCTAATATTATAAACAAATTCACCTATTCTTTTCTCTGGCATTTGATGATCTTATTTTTAATATATAAATCCTGTATCCATTTGGAATTTATTATAACTTAAATGGAATGGGGTTCCTACTTTATTTCCCCGCCCTCCAACATGGCTAGTTAATTTTCCTACCCTTTCTCTTCTAATTTAAATGTTACCTTAAACAGAAATTCATTTCTCATATGTACTGAGATCTGTTCCGGGTTTTCTATTCCGGTCCACTGGGTTATCAATTTATTTCATCTTTAAATACCACATTGCTGTACAAATTATAATTTCATAACATATTTTATCTTTTGATAGGTCCAGCCCCATCGCGTTACTTTGCTTTTTCAGGGCTTTCCTGACTCACTTATTTCCGCAGTTGAGTTTCATATCAATTTTTTGACAAGTTCCCCACCTGACAAACAAGAATCCTGTGAGTATAGCTGACCCTTAAACAACATGAATTTGAGCTTCACAGGTCCACTTATGTGAGGACTTTTTCAACGAATGTACAGCCTGCGCTCTGTATGCTCAGTCTCGCATCCAAGGATTTACCCATCCACTGACAGAAAACAGTATTTTCAGTCTGCAGTTGGGAGTCTGCCAAAGTGGGGGGTTGACTGTGTGCATTGTCCCGTGCCCTTTTATATAAGGGACTTGAGCATCTTCAGGTTTTGATATCTACAGGGGTCCTGGAATCAATCCGCTGTGGATACTCAGGAATGACTGTGGTTCAGTTTTGGGGGAGTCAAAAGTTATAACCAGATTTTCTACTTCAAGGGGTTGGCATCCCTAACCCCACTTTGTTCAAGGTAACACATTTTGATTAGAATCACACTGAATTAATAGATTTAATTGAGCGTTGGCATTTTAATAATACTGTGTCTTTCTATTTAAAAGCATAGAATAGAATGTTCCCTGTAAAGGCCCTTCTATGTCTTTTAAATATTTTTCTGAATATTTTATCTTTTTGAGTGCTATTG